AGGACTGATTAGGGTCATGAAGGGGGAGGGAAGGTGCCCCCCTCCACTTCCCTCATCATTTGCCTCAACTGGACTATTTTATTGGGACTTCCCCCTTCCCAACGTTAATCTTTAAATAATATTTCTCATAGTCCTGACCCACCTTCTCTCTCTTTCTCGTACAGTCTCACATAGCCCAAGCTATCTTAGAATTCCCTCTGTGGCCCAGACTGATCTCATATCCCAGTCTCAGCCCCAGTCCTGGAGACAGAGGCTAGGGCTATCCAACCCCAGCTCCAAGCATCACTCAAAACTAGGTCGAATGCCATTTTACCAACAAAGCTGACAATAACAGATGGAATTGCTCTGCCCATCCTGTTTGCTTCTGTGACACATTATCTGTACTTTTTTTTGATGTTTGTCATGGATTGCTCTTAACTGTATATGGTGTGTGGAGGGGTCTGCAGAGGTAGCTAGACATTGCTGAATTATAAGCTTCTTTAGAGGTGAGGTTTTCTTCAAATGGACTTAGGATATGAGAAGGTGAAAGTTAGGTGGCTAAAGTGGACCCTGCATCATCATTTCATACAATCATGTTCTTGTTGGAGCCAACATTAAATTCTTGTTTTAAAGGGACATTAAAACATGTCCTTCAGACTTAAAAGGACCCAGCAATCCTTTCCAATATTTCTATTAACAAAGAACAGGTTTTTGAAACTCTAAATCAAATTGGATAGTGGTGGTGAACACCTTTAATTCCAGCATCTGGGAGGCAGTGGCAGGCGGATCTCTGTCACTTCCAGATCAGCCTGGTCTTTAAAGCAAGTTCCAGAACAGCCAAGGCTGTTACATAGAGAAATCCTGCCTTGGAAAAAAAAAAAAAAAAAAAAAAAAAAAACCAACAACCAATCAACCAACCAACCAACCAACCAAACACACAAACAAAAGCCCAAGGCTTATATTGATCTTTAACCGGAAAAAGATTAAGAATTTCTTTGAACTCAGTATTTTTTTTAAATGTTTACTTTTTGAGATGAGTCTCACTCTGTAGCCCAGACTGGTTTAGAACTTGCAACAATTTACCTATTTCAACTTCCCAAGCATGGGGATGATAAATGTGACTCACATGTCCAGCTCTTAATCAGTATCTTAATCACAAGTGGAAATTCTGCTACTTCATACCACAGCTAGAATCAACATCATTACCTAAGACTTGTAAACTCAGAAGCCTCTTCCCAACACACCAAATATCTACTGTTAATAAAGGAGAAAAAAATAGTTGAACAACAAAACAAACAAACAACAACAATAATAAAAGAAGGAAGGGGCATGGCAGTAACGTACACAGAGAAAATGAATTCACTCAAAGTCAGTGTACAGCCAAATGTTCACACTGTAGACCCTACCAGCCACTTGGGAGGCAGAAGATGAAGGATTTTGGTTTAGTTCCAGACCAGCCTGGGCTACACAGTGAAACTATGTTTAAAAACAAAAGGAAAGAAAGGAAAAGAAAGGAAGAAAAACAGTATATGTAATATAATTAAAAAGAAAAGAAAAACTCAGAAAATGTCAATAACATCAACAAAATATTTATATAATAAACTTTAACTTAAAAAAAAGTAGCATTTACAATTTAAAGATTCTTTACCTTGTAGTGATCAAATGACTAGACACACTTGGGAGTGAGAATAACTGGAGTTTCTCCTCCAGGATATTTCAATGTGTTCTAGTGAACACGGAGCTTAACAGGTGGGATTCACAGTTGTGGAAGTAAAGTAATCCACCAGGGCTCTGTTGAGAGCACACATCCACATGTGTTGTCTCCCATCAATTCCTGGGCACATGCGGCATCTGACATAGTTAACTCCATCCAGATCGATGATTGCCAGATTCCTCACCCTTCCCCTAATTGTTTCCGTATCACTGCTGCCATAGCCCTCCTCCTGATGGATCTGCCTCAGCATACAGACACATGGGAATCAAAGCATCAATGTGAATTTCAGTCTTACTGGGTTCCAATTCAAACAAGTCTATCTATCTATCTATCTATCTATCTATCTATCTATCTATCTATCTCAATATCGATCTGTCTGTCTATATCTACTATCTATCTATCTGTCTGTCTGTCTATCATTTATCACACACACACACACACACACATATATGTTACCATTCACGTGTCTATTATATACATCTCTTTAGACACCTTTCCTCTGTATCTAGCTAATGTTCAAATGGGTATATAATTGCTCAGATGAAAACCACGGAGTTCAGGATTGGTGTGGCAGACTAGGCCTGCAATCCCTGGCATGTGAGAGATAGAGGCAGAAGGATCAGGAGTCCCAGGCCAGCTAGAGCTATATGAGACTCTGTCACAAACAAATGGATAACAACAAAAAGCCCACCTAGATTTTTACCATTCTTTCACATACTGCAGAGTATGGCCTGGGAAATCTGCCTTTCAACCAGGAGCCATATCTACTGCCTCAAGGGCACCGAGGCAGTGGGTGAGTGAGTGTTTTTTGTTACATAAGCCTTTACATACTAGCTTTGCCACTCAGCATATATGTAATCTTGAGAAACAATATATTTTCTGGATGGTAATTTCCTTATTTCTTTTTTTTGAGACAGATTTCAAATTTACTATGCAACAGAGGGTGACCTTGTATGCTTTCATGTATTCTGCCTCATTTATATGTTGCTGGGGACCAGACTAAGGACCTCATACATGCTATGCAAGTACTCTAGCAACAGAGCTAACTTCAATCCCTAATTTCCTTTTTCAAAAATTAGGGTATTAATATGTATCGATTTCAAGGAAAAACAAGTACTTGATGTAATGCATGCCAATGGGTACATCAGAGTGGAACTCAGTAATGGATAGTTACCACCAGGCATGGTGGCCCATGGCTGAAATTTGTAAGACTGAGCAGGAGACTCTCAAGGTGAAGCCAAGCTAGGCTGCATAGGAGTGGTATTTCTCAAAGAAAGGTTATGGGGGAAAGTGTGTGTGTGTGTGTGTGTTGTGTATGTGTGTGTGTTGGGGGTGGTGGTGGTTACAATGAAACTAGCAATAATACAGAGGAATGGGCAGATGATGTAGCCTCCTCCATAAATACCTTCCATATATTTTAATTTCTCCTCGGGGTAGGCTGAGCCTGACTGTAAGCCTTTCTCTGGGACACATTAAAAGTTGGGGCCCAGTAAAGATAACCAGCAGTGAGGAGAGGGTATGGACATGGAGGATACTTAATGTTTGAGTCTCTTGCTCTGTGCTGACATTCCTATGTGTGTCTCTAAAGACATCTCACAGTAGTAAATGCAATGTGTTTGGGGAAGTCAGGACACAATTCTCCATTTCCACTTACATTCACAAAGCAGGGTCAACAAACCCTCAGTGCTTCGTAGAGCTAATACTGAGTTCCCAGTATGGTGGTTGTTCTCAAAATTTTATTTCCTCTGGCAATTCTAGTAACTGAAATAAACTCTGGATCAAGAACAAGCACCCAGTTTCTTTGTAAAGTCAGTCAGAATTCACAGTCAAGCTCAGTAGAGCTACAGTTTAAACTGTCCAAAGTACAAGGAAGAAGGAAGCCCAGGATACCGGGACATGCCCTGAATGACACAGTCATTTAGGACCTGCCTAAGATGCCATTCTGTTTGCAAACATGAACTACCCACCATATCACTCAGCAAAATAATTCCCCTGAAGATTCCAAAGGCAAATGACTCATGTTAAAAGTGTCCCATGTATCGTTTTGTAGATGAGTCCATAGGCATCAATTAAACATGGAAAAGACATGTTCTAAAGCATGGCCATCTGGCAGTTCCAAAGGAACTGTAGTTAAGGGCCAGTAAAACAGAAGGGATCGTAAATATAACAAGATTTTGCAACCTTTCCCTTGTTCAGCAGCAGTGAGGGCCCATGAGGACAACGATCCTGGAAGAGCTCCAAAAGAAGAGGTTAGCCAGGCAAAACCTGCATCCAAAGCCAACATCCCTCTTCCCCATGCATAGAAAGCAGATGGAAGTGGCATGAGGTCATCTTTTTAAGGCAGAAAAAAGCAGATAGGTTCACAGAATGCTGGGGAGTTTGCCTGATAGTCTGAAGGTGGACTTTAATTGCTACTTGTCCAAGAAAGAGAAAGAACCGGCTCACCCTTTGCTCCTTGGGTGCTTTCTAAGCGCCAGCATCATAGGACTTGCTCTCCTCACCAAGTCAAGATCAGTGTGGTCTCAAAATCCTTCCCAAGATAACTATAATTTGACAATACTTTCGGTGGAAAGATTAACTAATTACATGAGAGTGATGTCAAGCTTTAAAGCCTCTGCCAGGGAATGCAGCAGGAGCAGAGGTGCTTTTCAAGGCTACAGTTCTAGATCAGCCTGGCAGACACCTGTGTATATATAGACAAAGCCTCAAACAGCATCACTTCATCACACCTAATGACTGCCTGTGAGGACAGCTTGCATCCTCTATTTCTGGCTTTTTTCAACAACAAAACTATGTGTCTTCATATCAAGTCTCAAATCTGAACCTATTTTCCAACGTCTGATTTATTTATTTTTCACACAAGGTCAGATAAACGAGTAAAAGAATTTGTTTTCAGCTTTAATTTTGATCCGGAGCTAAGATTGTTAACGACTTTTAAATCCATTATCCTTGATCTCTCCTGCTTTTCCTTAAATGACTCAAGTTAATGAGCCCTTCAGTACTTGCAGATCAATATTAAGGAGGTTAACATTCTTAGATTGAGACTGTATGGTATAAACAGAATAAAAACAACAAAACAGTGCTGTGACTCCCATTCTTCCCACTGCCCCTTTTGGCAGTGATGATGCTGTCTGCCCAACTCTCTTTAAAGCAGTTACCCACCTATTAAGTTTTTTAAATTTGGAAATAAGAGAGATCACTGACAATTATTGTTTTTTCAATACAACAACAAGCAACCCAGCCCATTCACAAACACTAAAAATGGCAGAATTAAACACAGTGTTACCAAGTAGTTATAGAGGAATACCTGGGATTGCCAGATTGGAAAGGGGGACGTTGTGGAGGTGAGGGGGGAGCGAGGCCATCCAGTCGGCATTGCAGACTTCCGAGGCCGCCTTTGTCCCGCTGGGATTGGGAGAGCAGATGGTCCCCATCCTGAGTTTCCTCCTGGCCTTTCTAAATGCTAGCATCCCTCTTGTCCACGAATTAGACAGGCTCAGCCCAGGGCCACTCACTCTGTGATCATCACCGCTCGGGGCTCTCTAGACATTTCTGAGCCACATGGATCACGCCAGCCTTTTCAAGATGCTTTTCTGGCTGGGAGATGAGTTAAATAGGTGCTTCCCTACCCGCTGCGCCCGCAGTCCCCACCCTCTCCGCCTTGCCTCCGAGATCCACTCTCTTAATCTCCTCAGTGTCCCTGCTCAGTTAAACTTCTTAGTTCCCCTCTGGAGACGCGGGAGGCAGACCCGAAGATACAAACCTCACTGACACCCACAGCATCCAGGAACAGCCACACCCGCAGCTACTCACAAGACAGGTGCCCATAGGGCATAGAGACATGCCAGCGGGCTGCACACACGTGCGCGCCCGGGTTGCACCATCTCTAGTTCATGGGTGCTTCCGTGGGTGTCCCTGGGCTAATACACAGCCCGGGCCTGCCTGCCACCCGCCCCCTGGCTTCTCTGCCCCCTGCCCTGTGCTTTCCTGAAAGGCTCTCAGAAGAGTAACCGGCAGCTCCGGGACTCTGGCGGCCCCGCCCCGCACTGCCGGGCAGATTTGCCAGGCTAGGCGAGCTGTGATTGGCCGCTGATTGGGTACGCTCTGATTGGTTGACGCCCCCAGGGGCCCGCCCCTGTCTCCCTCTCCCACGCCTCCCCTGCCTCTTAGCTCCTCCCTGTTCCACTCCAGCCTCTCTGCCTGTGGACAGACAGTGCAGCGGCCTGCTGCTCCCGAAGCGGAAATGTGCACTGTGGCCATCTGTCTTTAGATCGATCTTTCCACCTAGGTCTTCGATGCGACCACAAATAGTTATCCCCCTTTCCTCCGCCTTGCACTCAGTGCGGTGAAAATTACCCAGAAAGCACTCTATTTTCTGCAAACCATGGAAGCAGCAGAAACAGGAGAGCTAGAGCGGCCAAGAGAGGTGCTGAGGCTCATATTTGGATGGGAACTACCAAGAACGGTTTGTGTTTGAAACGTTGCAAACCGACAGTTCCTCTACACAGCCCTCTGCCGCCACTCGGAGTCTTTATTCCCACTTCACAGAGGAGGAAATACTGGTGCTTTACATTCGTAGCGTTGTTGTTTGGAACCTTCTTCTGACTTATTTGTCCCAGCTGCTCTTCACAGTATTACCACAAGGCAGAAAGGGTTGCTGATACACTTCCATTTAATGGATGAAACAAGCCCGAGGCAGGTCACATGGGGCAGCCTTTGCAAACCTCATTTTGAAATGAGGTTCCCTAACCTGATCTGTAGAACACAAACCCACTTCTCTGCTGCCTGAATTGTTCCCATTCCAAATAGTACTTAAATGTAGCATAGAATCTTATGACCTGATATGAGTGCTTAGAATTTTTATTACATTTATATATCTCATATGTTTATATGTGACCATGCACATGTGGAGTTCAGAGGACCGAATGCTCCAGTTACTCCTTCCATGATGATTCCAGGGATCAGGTCAGGGAAAAAAAAAAAAAAATCACAGTGGTATTTTGGCAAACAGGCAAATTTATTTTAAAATGAGGTGGCTTTTATGGCAGGAAGGACCCTACGGACTCAGGAGGGAAAAGAAAATAGTGTTCAGGACTCACACAACTAGAACACAAGAGGCTTGTGTCCAGAACCCTAGGCCAGCTGTCACTTAATCACCAAATGACTTGGCCTTATCTCTGTACCCCCAGGCCACCTCTTCACAGCTTTAGTAGCATTTCTTCTTCTAGGCTATTCTTAACATTCATTTAAACTAGCTTCACTGGCATAAAATCACCAAGTCTCCATGGTGGAGTGTTGCTTGACAGCTCATTAAAATAAAGTATATAATATTTATCGTGTATCTTCTGGTGTTTAAAGGGCATTGCAGTATATATTGTTCTTTTAACGATACCACAAGATCTTAGTAATATGTCACCCAGTGTTAGACTCACCAAAATCTCTCCACAAGACAAAAAGTCCCTCAGTGTAGCATTATCTCAAGGTTTGTTTCTGAAATTCCACCTTTCTGGTCTTCCTTTGAATATGTATGTATGAATGTATGCATGTATGCATGTATTTAATTCCCAGACAAAAGCAGTTTTCTGGAAGGTAAGACAAACAAAATGTGTGCTTTAAACTCAGCTCTGAGGTGTTCTTTGCATTACCTCTTCTGTAGTTTTTCTTGTTAATGAAATGGCAGTAATAACAAGAGTTGAGGAATTCTGTTTGGAAGCCCTCCTTAGGTGAAACATGGATCCTTGACTTACCCTGCAGAAAATAACTTCAAGGCAAGTCTTCAGGAAGCAAAGCCAGAATTTACTAAGATTGGAATAGGGCTGGCATGTGGCTCAATTGGGAGTGTGCTAGACTAGCATGGACCAGGTCTTGGATCCCAACCCCAGCACCACATAAACCAAGCATGATGGTGCATGTCTATGATCCCAGCATGAAGGAAGCAAGATGAGCAGAAGTTCAACATCAGCCTTAGGGACATAGTTTAGGATAGCCTGGGCTACATAGTAAGTTTGGGCATGGTGGCTCATACCCGTAATCCCAGCACAGGGGAGAAAAGAGGATAACATATTTAAATCCAGTCTAGCTAACATTAATTAAGACCCTATGTCAATAAACTAGAACAAAGAAAGTGAAAAGGAAAGAGATAAGAGCATTTAGAAAAAAAACAAAAACAGTTGCATGTCCCCCAAAATGAGTGCGGATTTCTCAAGAAAGAGAGTCATATATAAATGCAACCTCTTTGAGACAAGGACCTTATTATGTAGTCCACTGTGGTCTTCAACTTCTGGCATTCTTCCTGCCTCAGTCTCCTTAGTTCTGGAACCAATAGATGAGTCAGCCCACCCACTAATTTTGGGTGGCTTTTGAAGTTATACTATTCAAGAGGTTTAAAAGATCAAGCAAAATTGGTGTGGCATTTGTCTTAGGATTACTATTGCTATAGTGAAACATCATGACCCGACCCAAAAGCAAGATGGAGGGAAAGGGTTTATTTGGCTTATACTTCCTCACTGTAGTTCATCACTGAAGGAATTCAGGACAGGGACTCAAGCAGGCCTGGAAGCAGGAGGCAGGAGCTGATGCAGAGGCCATGGAGGAATGTTGCTTACTGACTTGTTCTCCATGGATTGCTCATTGTGCTTTCTCATAGACCCCAATCCCACCAGCCCAGAGATGGGCCCACTCTCAATGGGCTGGGCCCTCCAGCATCAATGACTAATTAGGAAAATGTTCTACAAGCTTGCCAGCAGCCCAATCCCATGGACCCATTTTCTTAATTGGGGTTCCTTTCCCTCAAGTGACTTTAGCTTGTGCCAAAGTTGACCTGAAACTATCCGTCCCAGGTATTCTTTCTTTTACTTTTGTAAAAATTATAAGTCTTTCTCCAGGGATGAAAATTTAATTTCTTGGGATCCATCGCTTCAATAGTCCGATTGCCAAAGAGAGAGGTGCAGGCATCTCCAGATGGGGGTACTCATTTCTTCCAACCAGGCCGGTTACAATCTTGACTGTCTGTGTTCTAATAGTTTCCCTTTCTCTTTCCCTCTATTCTCTCCTTAGCCCTCCCTCCCTTTTCCTGTCTTCCCTCCCTCCCCCTTCATGCTTTCCTTTTTCTCTTTCTTTCCAGAAAGGGTCAAAAAGAGCCCAAAACACTCTAGAACTTACGGTGTAGCTAAATAGGACCTTGGACTCCTGACCTTCATGATACTCAGTGTTTCCCTCACAGGCATTGACCACTACATCCAACTTGTGAAGTTTTCATGATTACCTCAAACCAGAAGGAATAAGGGTCCTGAACGGTGAGGTATTGATAGGGAAAATAGGGATGAGAATAAAGAAGATAAGAACTGAGGAGGACAAAGGCAATAGCTGGGTTCAAGAGAAGTCATATAAGCTGATGACTTGAGTGAAGCAAGTGCATTAAGAGGTACACCACCATTTATATTATTTACTGGGGGGGGGCGATGGTTAAGGTTGGTGGAGAGCTAAGCCAGGCAATGTTGGCTAAGAGAACAAGCTATACTTCTGACATTATTGCCTAAGGGCTGAAAACCATAGCCCATAGAGGAGTTGGGTTCCCAGAAGCTGCAACCTTGTCTCCAACTAGTTCCATTGTCAGGCAGGCCTGGCCAAGCCAATTCCTGGACTTTTCCTTTTGATCAGGGTCTCCGAGAAAGACTGGTCAGCTGGCTCCTGGCACTTGATTCTTGGTGACAAGTGTAGGATAGGAAGGCTTACTCCCTTCCCAGTTCTTTTACTTTCTCCTTTCCTTCTATCCCGCCTCAGAATGAATGAGCATATTAAGAAAGCACCAATGACCTCTAAGTGCTGAATCATGCCTGTAATACTAGCACTTGGATGGCTAAATCACTAGGTGCAAGGGTACAAGGCCAGTACAGGCTATATAGTGAATTCCAGGTCATGATAGGCTACAGTGTTAGAGACCCTGTTTCAAAAACAACAACAACAACAACAACAAAAACTATACTACAGACATTTACAAACATAATTTTCAAATAAAAGATTAGGATTCAGAAACTGAGTAGTTAATGTTTTCATGATACTATGTTGTCAAATTTGTCAAGGGTATCCTATCAGAAACTAATAGGAGGAATGAAAATTTAAAGTTAACACTAATGAATAATTACAACCAACTGGAGTGCTGACTATGTATAAATCATTCTGACAGATTTCAGGAATAGAAAGGAGCTAAATAACTCCCAGACAGTACATCATCAGAAAAAATAAAATTAAATTAAATTAAAAGGAGGGGGAGGGGGTTAGAAAAGTACGTTGTAAGTAGTGGGACAACACAGGATGAAGTCATAGCCCAGACATTTGAGGACACAATGAAGAGGTATAGAATATGACAAGGAATAGGCCAAAGAATGTAGGAAGCATTCAAGAAAGAACTTGGGTTCTAAGATCTGCTCTTGGAAGGAGGGGGTTGGGTGGAGTAGAAAGGCAGGTACAGCTGAGAAAACAGGAGCAAAGTTATGGCAATCAGTTTAGGTGTGAGGAGAAAATCATCCTGGGATGGTGTGTGGAAATAAATGGACATGAAGCACTATTACTTTTGGTTAACCTTCACAACAGCGTGAGGAATGCAGACTCTTGCTGCTCTTAGCTTAGAGGCTGAATACCTCTCAGTTCCTAGGAGCAGAGCTGTGACTCCAAGACGCTCCACTCTTATGCCAAGGACTCCCTGCTCTATGTTACCTATTATTATCGTAAATCAGGCAAAGCACGTTTATGGCCAAAGCACATTAAAGAGTTAGTCCTTTTCTTTGGACACAAGAAACTATTGCAAGGTTTTTAGAATAAGGGAAAGGGATTTGCATGGTCTTGTAGGAAGATTACTACAGCAGAGTAGTGAATGATGGAAAAATAAACATCACTTAGTAAATGACTATTAAAAAAAAAAAAAAAAAAAAAAGGAGAGCCTGGCAATAAACGCATGGTCTTCCCTAAGTCAGCTGCTTGCCTTACTCATTGCTTACAAGAACCTACAATTCTAGAGCCTGGGTGGGCAGCCAGAGAACCTCTTA